ATTCATGCTTTCTCAATACTCATCTATAAGAGAGAACATGATCATTTAAGAAGTAAGTCGGAGGTCAAAATAAATGAAGAGAGACAGAAAAAGAAAAAAAAAATGATGCTTACATCCGTCATCATCTATTTTCCGACTACTTTTAGTCATGAATGTTCTATTAATTTTCTAATATTATTCTGTTCGTATTATGCCAGTTGAATACATTTTCTATTCCCATATATATTCATAGATATCGATAGATTTTCTTGGCATTATGTATACAATACTTTCCATGGACAGATATCATTAGAAAACATACACTAGTAAACCAAAACCATTTGTACCTTGTACTATATGCAAGCTGATTTGTTGCTTTCATGATCGTATTAAATAAATATATATATATATATATAGATATGATAGTCTCATTTGAAGACAGGAAAAAACAAGAAAAAAATCCTTCCCTTTTGACATCCTTTCCTTTTAGCCTAAATCATTCTTTCTATTTAGATTCGATTTTTGGCTTAGATGTTCCCTCGATAATAACTTCGTTATTATCACATTCTTCTTAAGAACCATCGTTCCACTGATTTTTTTTAATACGAACATTATTGTAGCTATTATTTATGACAATGTAAAAGAATCAAAGTTTTCTGTTCGTCTGCTTCTGCGTTTTAGTTTTCTTCTTACTTCACCATATGTATTATTCACATGCAACATCTACCTCATTTTCATCATAGTGTCTCATGGACAATAAATAATGATTCCAATGAAACATTCACATCATCGATACCAGATATTTATATTAATGAACAATCACGACCATTAATTTTTACTATTTTAATTGCGATTTGTTTATCAATTATTATCCTTTTAACTATACTCGGTAATATACTTGTTTTAATTGCCATATGTATTGATTTTGCTCTTCGTTCACCAACTCATTTATTAATGGGCAATTTAGCATGTGCTGATCTTTTACTAGGTAATTCTATTTTTCATTTAAATTCTTAAAGAAAATGATAATATTTTGAGTATCTATACAAATAAGTCTATCCAGTACCTCATTCTGTAAAACTAAATAAAACAAATAATAATATCAGTAAAAAATAATCACAAATAAAATAGTCGTTTTGTTCCTTCTCAATTATTAAACCGGATATAACAATGATAGATAAATATATTAATATTTTCTTAGTATTTGATAAGCTGTTGCCGATCATTGATATATATATATTGATTAAATTATGTTGAAAAGTAAATAACAAAAAAATGTAATCGATTTGTAAGATAAAAGTCAAATGAGCTGATGATTTAATCGATCAAAAATTTCAAAAACAATTTCCTACCGGAATTGCCAAATGAAAATGACTTCCGAGTATAGGCTTACAACGATTCCGTTGTTAGATTAGATATATACCAAATGATTTTAAAACTTTTATATATTAATAAAAGATTCGTAAGAAAATTTTCTTGTCTTCTTTTTATACATAGACAAAAAATAAGAAAAATCGCATAAAAATTTATGAAACATCACAAGCATTTTTTTCGTATTCCAAAAACTGTCTGCTTAATGTAACTAGAACTAAATTGATGTCTTTCTAACACAAATAACATATGACACAAATTGTGTGTACACAGATGATAATAAGAAAAAAAAACATCGTCCAGTCATTCATTTTAATGTCATGTCTAAAAAATATTTATCATATTTTTTTGTTCGTACATTTAATTTTATTAATAATTGAATGTTTTAAAAATATTCAAATGATTTGTTATATTTGAATTCTTTTTGAAGTGATTAATAAAAATGTATGTTCTCTTTTTCTAGGCATAACAGTTTTACCATTTTCTGGTACACTTGAAATTCTTCATGGTCGATGGTTGTTTGGTAAAACATTTTGTCATATATGGTTAGCAATTGATGTTCTTTATTGTACAGCAAGTATTTATGGTTTAATGTTTATATCTATTGAACGTTATTTTGGTGTAACATGTCCATTACGTTATCCAATTATAATTACACATCGTCGTACAATATATGCTATACTTATTGCATGGATAGTTGCTGCTCTTGTATCAATAGTACCATTTTTTGGTTGGCATAATAAAGTTAAATCGATTGATAATTCTTGTGAAGTTAATGATGATTTATCTTATGTTTTATTTTCATGTTCATTTTCATTTTATATCCCACTTATTATTATTCTTTGTGTTTATGGACGAATCTATGGTGAAGCTAATCGACAATATCAATTTTTAACTGGTGGACAAAAAGAAGTTCATTTAAAACAAATGCTTGGACGAGAAACTGTTACATTACGTATACATTTACCAAGACGTATATCATCATCAATATCAAATGGTCATGTGGAAAGACCAACATCTCATAGAAAAAAATTAACAGCACATATGGCATCATCATCTGGTACAAGTAAATTTTCAAGAATGAAACGAGAACGAAAAGCTGGTGAATTTCAAAATAAATAAATGAATACAAGAATTAATTTTCTTTTATATTTTAGCGAAAACATTAGGAATTGTAGTTGGAATGTTTATATTATGTTGGTCACCATTTTTTCTTCTACTACCAATTAGTAAGTTTTGTTTTTCTGAAAAAAAAGAAAGTCAATATACTTGAATTTTATATTCAATCAAATTTATTTTCGTTCGTTTAACATCTGATTAAATTATCTTCGATTGAATAATAATGTCTTTGACTTCTATTTCTTCTTTTTTTTTTAATTTTCTAGAGGCATTGACATCTACTGATCCGGGTGTAATCTTTTCGATTTGTTTTTGGTTAGGTTATTGTAATTCATGTTTTAATCCATTTATATATGCCTTCTCTAGTCGAGAATTTCGCAGGTAAATATATGACAAATAAGATGAGAGTCTTTAGTTTTATTTTAAATATTTTTTTAGAGCATTTAAATCAATTTTAAAATGTCAACGTATAAAACAACATAAACCATCGACAAGTTTTTTTCGAGTATCATCCACAATAACAGATCAAAGTCGTAGAAAACGATCGAATAGTTGGGATGCAAGTGGTTGTCATTCAACATCTAAATTATCATCAATAAAAAGTCAACGAACATCCAACAATAATCAATCTCATTTTACACCATTCACAACAAATCGAAATTCTATTGTAAATAATTCTCGTCGAATATCTCGGAATGAATGTATTAAAAATACAATTATTCCAAAATCAGAATCAACATCCGATGATACAAGTCCATGGCATCTTCGAAAGTCATTAAGTGTCAGATCATAATTAAGAAAAAAAAAGAATGCTTGTTTTTTGTTTTTGTTGAATATTTTGTTTTAAATTGATCCTGAGAAAATAAACGTCACTAATGTTTTATATAGAAAAGAAATAAATTTTAAAACAAGGAAAAAAGGTTAGTATGAAAATTTAGAGTTCAACGTTGTTCTTTATACTGCAATTGTCTGTCCTTTTCAATCTTTTTTCCCTTCTTCTTCTTCTTCTTCTTCTATTTTTTTTTATCAACTATAAAAAATGACCAGACATTTTTTGGATAGTAGATGTCTCAGTGGTAGTCTGTCTGCCCTTATTGTGCTTGCGTGTCAAATGATGATGATGAAAATTCGATCATCCTGCATGTTTGTTACACCGTATATAGCACGAGCAGGTGTCGGACAAAGCCGTGGGGCGTTTGTTTCATTTTTTCTCTTTGCGTGCATAAGCGTCTGTTCTCCTTTTTTTCCTTCTTCTCTAACAGCACTGACCACAAGCTATATGTTTTCCGGTACATTGTTTTCCAAATTATAGGCCGCCTGCGCTAGACATCTAATCAATCCTCTATCATTGAACAAGATATAGACGCATGTGCGTCTTCTTCTTTTTTCTATATTAAGTTGACATCTGAAAGAGAAGAATGAGGATGTGTGAAACAGATTAGTTAGTTCGTCTAGTAGCTTATCGATATCCATTATAATGAAGTTAGTGAGGCTTGTCAATGATGATGAGAAGAAAAGAAGAGAAAAAGTGAAATAGACAAACAGAAGGCCATCCGGATCCGCTACTATTCAACAACGGAAATCAGAATATATGTATATTGGTGACGATCTCCTGCAGGGCTCTTATTCAGTAAGAGAGGAGACAAGGAGAGAGCGACAGAGATGGATTGATGAGGTTGGTCTGTTCGATGACGCGCAAACAGTCATCACGCTCGCCGTTTGTTCATGGTCGTTTTCACAACATAAAAAAAATGAGATCAGACTATTTTCTAGTTTTCAAGTGTATAGATCATTAAGTGGACAGTAAGAGAAAAGAAAGAGAAAAAAAAGAACGAGGTAGACAGCCTCTTATCGGTAGCACTTTTCTTTTTTATGACACATGTTCATAGGAAAAAGAGTGAGAGAGAGAGAGAGAGAGAGAGATGTGTGTAAATTGTCTTTTTCTCATGAATTCAAATGAATTAATTTGTCTAGAACTTCAAATAAGTGTTTTTCTGCATATGAGAAGACGATTTAGATGATAGTATTGTCTTTAAGTAGTAAGCAACAATTTTCTCTAACGGAAATTTATCTGTCCTGGAGGCCATTTACTGACCGTTGTTTTATATGCATGCATGAATCTATTCGTTGAGCTTTTGCTCTCATCTGTTCTCGTTTCCGAATGAAAATCTTGAGTGTATTACGTCATTTCTTAGTATTATGACATGTTAGGGTGAATCCTACTTCGAAATTCATTCATTTATTCATTCATTCATTCATCTATTTCTGCTTTGTATGAGTGGAACAGACAAAAGAATCTAAAAAGAAGCATGTATGCACGAGATGTTACGAGTTGCGTGACATTCAACAAAGTAAATTAAAACTGACCAGTACTAACTAGCTCTACCATCACCATCATCATCATCCTGTTGTAATAGTCATATGAGAGCTAGTCGGATAGGCAAACATACAATTACACACTATCTTTTGTTCACAACCAGCTAATTGAACATACGTAGATTATATATGTTTTTCTTTTTTTAGTAAAGAAAATGGTACGTCGATCTAAAATGCCGATTTGTGGTAATGGCATTGTAGAAAATGGTGAAGACTGTGATTGTGGTCTTAATAAAGTAATGTACTTTGTTGTTATTAGAATACGAGAATGGATAATCTTATCAAAATAAACGCTATTAAGAAAACCGGAAAGCTTTTATTATGATGGTGTTTGAAAAATGTTCGTCTAATATAAACATTTCGCCCGCTAAAATATGAAAGTAAAGTCATATTGATTGAAGTTAATGAAGAGATTACTATTTTTTTCATTCGAGAAAAAAACATGGGAAACGAGTAATTATATTTGACTAGTTTTACTTAATCTCAGACTTATCTATTATAATCAAGTTAAACATGACTTAGATGACATGTTAGTTGTTAAAGTACACGCATATTTTGACAATAACGCCTTATGAAGAACTAATTTAATGAAAGTGTTCGTACACTTTTTAATCTTGTAAAAGTACCGGGAGAAATTTGGAAACATTCGATGTTCTTTTAGAAAATCACTTTAATATTTTTGTAGAACTTCTGATTGAAAAATTTCAAATATATATAGCGAATCAAAGAACAAACGTTTATCTATAAACTGCTATACTAATGATTAGTTTGCTGCAAATGATTTATCAATAGTCAATATTGTGGTAACGGACATCACGTCAATTAGGACAATTTTCTCGACTTCTATGAAAAATAGACATACAAAATGACCTCGACCATTTTTGAAAGCTTGTTGAGAAACTCTTGATATAGATTATTGCAGCAAGAAACCATCAATATATTTCGTTCAATGACAGAAATATTGAACCTACATTTGGAACATTAAAAAAAAATTTGATTTGAACTCAATGTTTTCAAATATTTCTGAACAGGCTGAAAAATGAATGTGCATTCTGTCAATTTACCTTCGATAACCCCTTATACAATAGATAAATAAGTTAAAAAATTTGAGTTTTTATTTAATAAATTATTTTCTATATAGATAAAGCAACAAATTATATTTAATAGAGCGAAAACAAACATGTTTTCTTTTGTCTTATAAATAGAGTTGTATATCAGTGGAAGCATGTTGCAATCCTCGAACATGTCAATTCTATTCTGGCGCTGAATGTTTATCCGGCGCTTGTTGTTCTGGTTGTAAATTACTTCCATCAGGTTATATCTGTCGAGTATCTCGAAATACATGTGATGTACCTGAATATTGTGATGGTAGTTCTCCTCAGGTACGTCAAAATAATATAATATATAAGTACAAATATATATTATTTCATTATTTTGATTTAGTGCCCTGAAGACAGTAATTTTATCGATGGTTCATCATGTCATGAGAATATTGGTACATGTTTTCATGGTATGTGTGTTGGTGCACAAAAACAATGTATTGATCTTTGGGGACCAGGTAAATTTTTGAAATAAAATATTTTTTTTTCCTTAATTTTAATGATTTAAATAGGTGCAAAAGTAGCACATGATTCATGTTATACAAGTTTTAATCCATCAGGTTCAATGACTGGCCATTGTGGTTATGATTCTCGTTTACATAAATATATACCTTGTTTTGATAAGTAAGATTCATTTCATTTTCTTTCACTACATGTTACATTTTGTATTGATGTCGATGTTCATCGAAATGGAACGTGCTCTGATATTTCACTTCCCAGCGAGTTACAAAAATCTTTTGCTATGTACATCATAAGAAGTTAGCAGAAGCTCGTACAAATAACCCAGCAGACACCACGAGAAGTTCGCCTTGACTTGCCTTCCGAAATTCATTGTCATTTTTTTCTTTTGATTCAAATCTAAACTTTGTATGTAGTGATGTCAAATGTGGTCTATTACATTGTGAAGGTGGTATGCCTTATCCTCGAGTAGCATCTTCAAATTTTATGATTTTTAATGTTAATACACGTGAAGGTTCATTTGAATGCAAGTAAGGAAAAATATATAAAAAGAAAAACAAATGAAAACATTTATTTATTTTTTTTTTGTTATTGTATACTAGGACCATATCAAGTCCAATTTATTCAGTATTAGTTAATGATGGTAGTATATGCGGTGAATCAAGTTTTTGTCAGAATAATACATGTATAGAACAAAAATTAAAACGAACATGTAATCCACAAAAAACATGTTCAGGAAATGGTGTAAGTTATTAAATATTAAATTTCCATTGTTAAGAACAAAACAACACGTTTAGATCTTCTTATATTTTGATGAAATATTTATATTTTGTTTTGTAGGTATGCACTTCAATGGGTTTATGTTATTGTAATCCATCATGGAAAGGAAAAGATTGTTCAATATATGATTATATATATCAAGATACACATTTATATAATCGTACATTATCATATGAAACAGGTTCGTAAATTGATATAGTCTTTAATTAAATATATATAATTCTTCTTTATTTTATAGATCCTGTTTCACCAACGACATTTTTTAGTATAGCAACAATAACATTTCTCTTATTTATTTTATGTCTAATCATATCATGTTTATTCAGGTAGAAAAAAAAATTTTTTCCAAAGAAAAACCTTTAAAATTTTTTTTCTTCTAAATTAAATTAGAAATAAAAATCATCGTCATCGTCGAAAATCTCATGAATTAACTATTATTAATCGTTCAAAAATACAAAAACCACAAGTAACAATTAATCCAACTGATATTGAATTTGATCAAACACAATTTATAACACAATATAATTCAAATAATCAAAATCTTATTGCAACGCCTATGTCTATTCATCGAACACCATTAAAACATTCACCATTTATGGCTAGTAATCGATCAATAACAAGTATATGTACAGGTCTCTCATATTTACCAAATGATACACCACAAACTGTTCGTTATATTAATCGAAAACCATCAACAAATGCTATATTTAGTGATTCTGAAACACCACGCACACGTATACGTCGACAAACACGTCATATTGGTTCACCATATCTACATAAAAATTCTAATCAACATCATCAACAAACTTATGCAACATTAACATTAAAACGTCATCATAATATAAATAATATACCATATGAATCATCAAGAAAAATTTATGATGATATTGATAAACTTTCAACAAATGAAAATTTACGTGATTTTATTCAAGTACTTGATTCTTTGGCAAAAGAAAAATTTGGTAGTACAAATATAAATAAAATAGCATATGAAAAAGATACAATTATACCATCAAGTCCAACTGAAACAAATGAATCAATTACACTTGATAGTGGTTATCAATCTACAAAACAATTAATAAATACAGATGAATATGCTACTATTATCAAAATAAAACCGACAAATGAAAAATTTCAACAACGACAACGATCATTTTCATCAATTGATAATAAAGAACAATTTTCTACATAATGCAAAAAAGAAAAGAAAAGAAAAATTTCTCTGTCATTTTTAAAGTTTTGCTTTTTCTTTTTTTTGAAATAAATAAATAATTCAAAAAGCACAAAATTTGAATATATTTATATTAAAAAAAGTATGACATCGATCATGAATATATCATTAATAATAAAACATCGAAGAAGTTATGATTTGTATGTAATGCTTTTCTTTTACTTTCATAGTATTTCTTTGGGGAATAATACATCAACTAAATATAACTTATATTAACGAGAATTCATTTCGCACATATGAGAATTACAGTTCTATAAGATTTATTATAGATTGTTATTATTATCGAATGAAATTTTCAACTACGTAGGACATTCAGCAACAAAAAAAAACCCGGCTCAAATAATTCTTTAATTGAAAAATTTATGCTGAAGAATATTAAAATAACAAAAAATCATATTCTTAATCAATTAGAATGATACGTAAATGTTACTTTGGGCAAAGTATTATGAGTTATAATTTTCTTCTCTTGACTAATAGTATTTAGGAGAAGTATTGTATCGAAATTTTTTTCTCAGTCCAACTAAATAGAAGTGAGACTGAAAAATAACATTAATATATATGATTCTTATATGATAAGAAAAGAATAAAATTTCGATTATTTATTAAAGGAATTCCATCATTTGTTTCAATCATACTTTCAAACAATAAAACCAAGTATACAAAACTGAAGCAATATATGCTTTTCATTATTACATATCATTAATAATCATAATAGCATAAAAGAAATGAATAAATTTTTTGTTATTCATAACAAAATATAAGCCATTCCCATTTGTCATGCTTTATTCTTAGGTGAAAAACAACTTTCTATTTATTTAAATACACCTGTTTTATTTATTTGAGCAAAACTTCATCATTTGCTAATGTTTAATCTTTATACTTTGATGATAAACTTATTTACATAAGCTTTTCTTAATCCAATACGTGCTTTAATCATGTATGTCATTTAATCAAAAAGAGTTAGTAACAAAATCATGCTTTTATTTCATTATAATTTTACAAAAAAAAAAGCGCATCTTTGAGAATATGCAGTCACTTTCTATTCTCGTCATTACTTTTTTATCAATAATAATTATTCATTCTCAATATGTCATTCGTGGGGAAAAAACACGATATTCAATGTATTGCCCTATTCCAAATGGTCATTGGTATGGACCAAACAATCAATCAATTATAGCTAATACAAATAAATATGAAATAAAATATTCATTTGATAATGTACAATTAATTATTGATCATTTAACATTTTTCGATGAAGGAGAATATATTTGTCAAAATAATCAAACAAATCATATTATTAAACACTATCAATTAAAACTTGCTACAATAAAAAATGTTCTTCAACCATTTTTTATTTTAATCTTTTCTATACTTATATTCATTCCAATATTCTGGTTTTTAGGTAAAAAATATTCTGGTATTAATCAATAAAATTTTATATTACAGAAGAGAACAAAAAGAGAGAAAAAAAAGAGATTAATAACATTTTGTTTTTTTTTTGTTCAAGACCACGGTAATTACAAATACAATAAGAAAAAAAAGAATAAGAAAAAAACAGGAAACAAAATGTCTGATAAAAAATAATTATTATGCGGAATGAATTTGAATTCAACGCTGATATGTGCAACTAAAAAAATTATTGTTTGTATTTTTCATTTATATCAGACATTGTTCTTTTTTACGCAAAAAACTCTCTTGATGATACACGCGTATATGCATGTGATGGTGATTTTCGTGGTCCTTCTTCTAATGCATATGAACCTTCATCTTTTTTACGCATTCGATAGATAATAAACATCACTAGTAATATAGCTGATAACATACCAATGACAATTCCACCAATAATACCTAAATTAAAAAAGATTAAATTATTTAGAAAAGAAAAAAACAATCAAAAATCTAACTTACCAACAAGAATTCCTGGTCTAGAAAAAAGATCACGCCAAAGATTTGCTGGTACAAATGGCATTCGAATTGTAGATGATTGATCAAGATTTTTTTTATTATTAGAATCAATAACAGGTTGTTTTATATCAGGTTGATTAATAGAAATTGTATTACTAAATATTTGTGATCCATCTGATTTAGTTGTGCCATCATCAGTATTATCATCATTTAAATAATTTTGATATGATTCTGCTTCATCATCATATTCAGTATTATCAACTTCTTCAGCTTGTACTTGTCGATTTGATGTTATATTAGGAGTAAATTTTAATTTTGTAATTGATGTTACTGATGATGGTGAAGGAATTTCGTCAGAACCTTCACCATTATCATCATCATAGATATCTGATTCAGCAGAAACAGAAAAAAAAACAAGATTTGTTTTATTTTTTCATATTTATAATTCTTACTATCATAGGATATATCATCATTATTTATGACTGTAGAACTTGTGCGAGCATTATTATTTGATGCAATCACCGATTGATACTAGAAACAAAATAAATAAAACATTCTATTAGAATATTTTCTTTTTTTTGAAACGAAAAATAAAAACATGGAGTTTATTATCATTAATTCTTATTGAAGGATATTAATTAATCATATTTGATCATGCTAGATTTCGTGTAAAAATAGACATGTTTATCATTAGATATGCCTCCGGAAAGAAGGACGATAATAATAACTTACTTGGTTTGGTTGAGCAACGATAATCATTGGACCTTGAATAAATATGATGAAAGTTATTAAACATGACAATGTCAGTGTAGAGTATGGATAATGTGATCGTGAGTATTGCTTATATTGATTTGCCATTATCAGTTTTGTCAGTTAAAAACAAAAATTCATCTCTTGGCTATGTCACGATTGTTCAACCACGACCAACAAATAAAATCCATTAATAGTAGTATGAAGAGCAGTAGTAGTAGTAGTAGTAGTATTAGTCGTCGTTGTTGTTGGAATAGATGAGAGAGAGAAGAAAAGAAAGAAAACGAGTAATCTTGCGTCTGCTTGTCGAACGCTTGATATCTATCTAAAGAGAGACATAGAGAAAAGAAAAAAAAAAAACTTCGAGAAGAGTCAAGAGAAAAAAAAACTGCGTCTTCTTCGAGAGTCTCTCTTCTCAGGGAAGAAACAGAAAAAAAATTATGGTCATTGAACATAAAAAAGTCGTGACGGCGACTATACTCAGTGCGTGCATTCACTTTTCATCTTCTCCACCCATTTCTCGTTCGATCATTCGTTTACTCGATGATCATAATCTCATTTTTCCTGCACGCATACACGTTCCGTCCTTGATTTTTTTTTGTTTCTATTTAAGTGTATATGTTCGTTTCATACGCTGACCATACACTTATTCACATAAGACACTAATCATTTGTGTGCACATCAAGTCTAAGCAACATATGTTTTCTAGCTATTAGAAAAAAACCAAGCTAATTGTATTGCTGACAAGTCTACAGTAAAAAAATAGCCGCTGTGCTATTTAGGATGATCATCTATCTTAATTTCTGTTTGTTCGCCGCCGCGTCTGCTAGTAGTCTACTCGACATTCGTTATTCAAAAAAAAAAAAAAGAAGAAGAGAGAAAGAGGTCGGGAACCGGACTATGTTACGTCACGCATCTCTGCAACTTGAGCAACACAGAGAGAAGAGAGAGAAAATTGGACATGCGTATACGATAGAATAAGAGTATGAGACAAAATGTCAACTCGAGTGATAGACAGCTGTGTATATATATGTACATATATGGGTGTGGCAGGACAATTACATCATCATTTAGCTCGTCAGTTCTCTAACTATTGGCACTAGCTGGAATTTCAGCCTTTTTCTATTCATTGACATTGCCAAGCAAGATTTAATCAATATGCTTATGACAACGTTTGTTTTATGTTTTCTTCCTGCAGTTATTAGACCCTTAGAAAGCTTCACATTTCTTTTATTCACACACCCATACGTGTATATAGAGTATATATATATACATACGTAAAAGATTGGCCCTATCGACAAGAACAACAATATTGATGAAATATGCATTCGTGCATACACACATAGGGTATCATATAGCGAGAAGTTCAGCGGAATCTTCAATTATGAGTACGAGAAAATATTTTATTGAATGATATGTTTAGGATAATGTATCATTTAATATAAGCGATCACTTAATGTAATAAGTCAAAATAATTTTATTTTTTTGGCAACTCTCATTCTACTAGCTGTCTTATCATATAACTCGGCAAAAAACATGAAAAAAAAAAGAAGAGATCAATTTATATACGCGTACGCATTCTATTTTACAGTCGGTTGCCACTACTATATTTCAATTTCCTGAGTAGTATGTCGCGCAAACAGTTTCATCTCCGTTTCTCATATGACCGTTGCCGGCCTCTTTTTACTCACTTCTTTTGTGCGTATATATGAATAACACTCTAATGTTGATGAGAATGTTTCTGTGTGTGTGTGCGCTATGTAGTCTGTCTTCTTTCATATATATATATATATTGTCAACGAATGAACGAGCAAACATGCTGCCGTTCTTTTCTCTCGTTCTTTCTCTAACTCTCTTTAGCGTGTTCGTTATATGAAGAATAGGATGAAGGTTGGTCCTTTCTGTTCATTCGCTCTTCTTCCTTATTTTATTTAAATCGGTCACCATGTTGAAAAAAACGTTTAAGCAAGGTCAACTCATCCTATTGAATTCATTTTTGCATTTGTCTTTCCCGCCTTTCAATAACAACAACAAAGACTAGTTAAAACTACCGATTAAACTTATGATGAATATATGCAAAATTGGCCACTACAAAAATCATTCAATGTAAATTTATGATACTCACTAAAAGAATATGATGAAGAAGCAAAAGAAAAATAAAGAAAAGGGAACAATAATTATCTACCGTTGACCGAACACTATCCAATGTGTATTTAAAGATTATGTGAATGTCTCTTTTATACACTTCATGTGTCAAGAGTTCGGTCAACCATCGAGTGGAACATGAAAAAATTTAAAAAGAAAAAATTTCATTTAAGCTTGATTGATGATGCGCGCGTCTTGATTATTATGATAATAGGATGCATAACAATCGTGTTGAGTGAATACTTTATGCTATGTAATCTACAATCGATCGTACTGAATATTATTATGTTCCTTTTTATATTCTTTTCTATCGTCTTTCTTCTTCTATATATGTACAAACATACTGCTCTCGACAATCAAGTCTAGACATACACAGAAGTGAAGAATACAATGTCACACTCATATGCATACAAAGAATAAAAGAGGAGCTAATCGTTAAGATGATTGTTTATTTGTTATTCAATGAAAAATCTACAAATGGCAAAAAGTTACCAACTATATTGAGAACAGTAAAGAACTCTAAGTTAAGAAAATAATAACTTATGCAAATGACAAAAAAAATTTTTTCTTGTTTGTACAAGAAAAAGAAGGAAAACATTCTCTAAGTCTATTCATCTGATTACACGATAGTAACGATAATGTTGACAAATAATAACCAAACTAAAAAGAATTTCTTTCATATAAAAGATAAATAATCAATAATGTTTCACTTTAGTATAATGATTATCATAATATAATGAATTAAATCGGATGTGAAAGAAAAGAAACGAAGACCAGCTGTTGTATAGTGTGCAGATAATCAAGCATACATTTTTACAATATTTACTCAAGATGACACAAGGACATTCTTTATTTAATCAAAACGATAGCAATTACTTGTAGCAACATGAAAGCAAAAAAAAATTCTCACCAATCAATATATCTTATATTTGTTTGTCCTTACACTCAAAGATCTGAAATAAGTAAGAAAAAAGAAAGATATTTTCCGTTTATTTTAGTTTTTAAACCAAAGAAAAAAAAAATACAATATTCTATTTTTTTCATAACGCATTAAATACTAACATATAATATATATATATATCTATATAATGCACTGGAATGAGAACAAAAAAAAAAAAAAAGAAAAGAATTTTTTGGTTTTTTTCTAAATTAACAATTTCTATACACATATGCACAACAAAATGACTAGACATTTAAATGAGATTTATAATGATCGAAATATAGCATAAGTACCAATAACAACCAGATGTGAAGCAAAATTAAGCCTTGACCATTTATCAAGAACATGTTGCCATGAATAACCAATTGTTTCTTGTGAACTTCCATCAAATAATTGTCCCAAATAGGTGAGATGCCACAAACTGAGAAGACATAAAAATACATTAACAATTATTGTCAATGGATGCCAATATGTATATGTATGTTTTTCACATGATGAACGTAATGGACATGTACGTGCAGCAACACATGCATCGAGAATATTTGCTAATTTACGTCGAAAACCATATTCAACATATGCAAATAAACCAATTGAAAATAAAACAATTGATAATTGAAAATTGAAACCATGAAGAAGTGCTGATGCAAGGTAAGTTATAAGAATTGATGAAAAATGACCATATTGTTGTTTTATTGGAATATAGACATAGATTTTTAACCAATAATGCATTGGTAAATTCCAATTAACAACAACATCAACTAATGAATGAGGTATTTCAATATGAGATGGTTTAACAATTGATGATGAATTTGTATTATTTGTTAATGAAAATGATGAAGAAATTGTTGGTTTTGTTGATATTGAAGATGATGATGCATTTGAATTGTTTGATCGAATGGAAGTTTTACGTTTAAATATTGGTAATGAATTATGTGAAAGAGATTTTTTTGAGTTACGTCGATTGACTAGAGTTCGATTTAGTGAGATGTCTGATTCGTCGTTAATTGGAGATTCAGATTCAACTGTTGCAGAAGATCCATTTTCAATAACAGTACTAAAAAGATAAATATTAGCATTGTCGTAAAGAAGAACATTTATTTAAAATATTCAAAAAGATTCTGTTAAATAAAAAAAAAATAAGTACGACTGGAGAATTGCACAAATTCATTACTATGAGTATTCTGACTTAATCAGAAGTTTTTTTTTGTCGAGATACGCAATCAAAAATAACTAAAAGTTATTAATTCCACTATATGTCTAGTTTGTTTTGAAGTTGTTTTAAATGCAGTTGCAGGGCTACAGGCGTCTCAGCCTCTTCTTATGTACCTTTGAAAATTCCTGGCGAGATTTTTCAAAGATTCGTAACGAAGGGGAGAAGCTGAACCCACTCTAGCCTAAAGTGCAAGCTATGTCACTGATTAAAATCATTTACTGAATGCTTATCAGAGATACTTGATGATTTTTTTTTATTATTGCTAATAATATAATATGAGCTATAGTTTTCTATATGACAATAAATTGTCTTAAATTAGTAAACATTCGATATTCTCCTTAGGGAAATGCTTTACAGCTAAAAAAAAATGGATAAATTTAGATTGTACTAATCTCATTAAGATCTATATACAGTGCACGCTAATTTATTTTCTCTTCTTCTCTTTTTTATCATTAAGCTGGTTTTTGTTTTTTAACCTCCTATATATATGTAGGGAGAAAACTTCAAATGTGCTGCATTTTATGATATATTTACTTTGAACAATAAATATAGTTTGCAATATGAAAAATGTCACTTTTTAATTAAAATTTATATTCATATCTATTATTCATATCACAACAACAGTGTAAGTATTTTTGAAATAACTTTTAACAGAAACAAGATAGAGCTCTAAGGTTTTCATCATTCGAAAGAAGAGATATATCTGTATTGAATTTCTTTTTTCACATATTTATAACAAGCTTTATCACAGTGTTGAGTCGCATTTTCTGGAAGACATGACATTTTTCAAAAAGAAAATATATTTTTATCAAAAATTGAGAAAAAAGTCAAGTTTTTCAAAAATGTAGCTCATCATTCTGACAAAGTTTGTCATGGAAATCTAAGAGAAGAGAGATTCGATGCAGATTTATCTCTTTTTTCGAATGGTAAAAGCCGCAGATCTCTATTTTGTTTTTGTCAAAAGTTATTTCAAAAACATTTCTCTTTTGTTGTGATATGAATAATAAAAAACGTGGATGAAAATGATAACAAAAAAATTAATTTTTTTTCTTTTTATACTTCAAACTGTATTTGTTGTTCAACGTTAATATATCACAAAATGCAGCGCATTTAGGACTTTCTTCCTACATATAGAATATTGAAAAACAAAAGAAGCCCAGTAATAAAAACGATTAAAAATAGAGAAGAGAGGAAAATGAATTGATACGCACTGTATGTTTTATTTCTTGTTTCTTTTTTTTTTGTTGAATATTATTTACCTTATCTGACTTGAATCATTATGTTCTTCACTTGTCATTGATGTAATACTATCTTGTTCTTCTTGTTTATTGCTATTTTTTTTATTTCGATGTCTTCGTTTTCCTGTATGAAAATCTGATGTTGCAGCTATTGCTTCTAATTCTGCTTGTTCACGAGATTTTCTTTCTGTTTCAATTCGTTCTTTTGCTTGTTGACAAATATATGCATAATTACGATATTCGTCAACATGAAAATCAAGTCCACTAATTTGACCACATAATTCGCCAATAAAACAAACACAATAATGACTAAACCGATAAGATAATGCTTGTATATAAGCGATACGCCATCCACTTTGATTATTGTCTTGTTCATCATTATATGAAAAACTATTTCGAAGAAACCAATCAGTTAAACATGTTGATACAAGAAGACAAATAGCCACACGAAGAAAATAATATGTCCATTTAGCTAATTCAAAAAAATCAATTTTTCTCATTGGATTACTTTCATGAAAATGACGAATATAATTTCGATAATTAACCCATGGACCAAATATTATATTGTGTATTGAAAGTATATAACTAAAAAATTCAATTGTTGTTGGATATATTATTGATTCATTTGTATTTAATGTTGAAGGCTTCTCAAAAAATTCATAATCAACAGCAAGAGAAATCATTTTCATCATTATACACATTTGTACTCCACGAATACCTACAAAATAAAATATTTAAATTCACGAAATGAAATGAAATTAAATATAATTCATTGAATTAACAAAAAAATCGTCAGAACTTATTTTTTGTATTCGATAGACTACTAATCAACTATTTTAATGATGAAAAAATAAATCACTTCGTTTGTCAGACCCGATATAATTTTCCTTATTTACTCATTTGGAACAAAATAATAATAAAAATATTAATTATTCATACGTACTATGCCATTTTTCTTGTTCAATTAAAATAAATTCACATGCAAGTACATATATAATTGAAAAACAAACAATAATATATGTTAAATAATTTCGACATTTATTTAAACACACTTGAAATGATAAATATCCCATAATTATATATGTTAAGAGATATATTGATTGAAAATGAAAATAATTAAAGAGTATAAATATACTCGAACATACTTGAATATAATGAAGTTTTTGAGATGAAAATAATTTTGATAGACACAAGAGACGAAATAAACAACAAAATAATATAATCCAATATAATTGATTAACTAATTGTGATAAAGCTGGTGAAATACAATTATCTGCTAGATCAATAAATGAATAGATCAATGAAGATGATGAAGAATCAGATGGAAGAGAATTCGATGATGATAAACTGTCAAGAGGTATTGTAGAATTTGGTGGAGAAAGAGAAGTAAGTCGTACAAGATCATTATCAAAAAATTGATTAAAATCAGCTGATGTTTCAATACCAGATGCTAACCAATCATCATAATTCCATGATGATGAATCTTCATCATAATCTTCTTCGTTTTCATCGATAAAATATGACAATTCTTCGTCTATCATTTTTATCTAAAATAAATCATCATCATTTTTTTTTTAATATGTATATTTTATAATCACCGTTATACAATGTATACTGATGAAAAAGAAAAAGAAAAAAAATCTATTTTATCTCAATCGAAAAAAACAACAAAAAAAAACATTTATGCTTTGTTTGATAAATTTTCGGCAGTAATTGCTTGAAAATCATTATATAAATTAAGTAATGCACCTGTATTAACATTTGTATCAGCAGCAATAATAAAAACAAGTGGTGGGACATTATATGTTATTATTTGACGTGCTGACCAATATGTAACAACAGTTTTTAATTTCTTTAAATTTGTTCGTTGACTTTGATCTTGTAATGTTTGTGCTGATGGTATTATTGTTTGTAAATCAAGTTGATCAACAGCTTCAGCTGTTGGTAATTTTAATATCGGCATACCATCTTTATCAAGTACAAGTACAGCTTCAATACCATCAATATGAGCAAATAATTGTGGAAGTGTCATCTTTAATTTATATGAATTCTTGTTAGATAAATAAATAAAATAATATGAGCTCCGTTAAAAGAAAAACGAATGAGGAAGAGATAACACTGCTCCATCTGCTGAGTGGAGTACTCAATAATACGAATAAAGTCAATGAATATCAGATGTCGCTATTCGATAGAGATACAATCTATTCCCATGTGTCAACTTATTATTTACTATTAATGTGTGAATCAAGAAATAAGAGTCTACGGAGACATTATCAATCATTTAAGTGTTATGTTGCTGTTATTTGTTCATTTCGGTGTACTGTGCCAATCTTCTGCTTAATCTCTATTATTTACATAAGTATTTCATGTTTTGTTTTCTGGAATTACTCTCTGATTACATTCATATATCGTTCATTATTCAATGTATTCTTTCCCATAGTTTTATTCTTATGATACTATATAGGATTATATCATCATGACTCATTGGATTTCCTTGATCGTAGCCTATGATTACTAGTGAACTTCTAGCTTGACTCTTTTTCTCTCACGAGGAAAGTTTCTGAAGTGAATAATCGCTTTGGAGCCAAGACAATGTGTATCATGTAGACCATAATGAGTGATGAATACTCTGAAGAGAGTTCTTGCTATTGACTAATTGCTGCCGAGATACTGTATTTTTACGATATTTTTTTTTTTGAATCAAAATCATGGTCCATCACATGTACCGGAAAAATTGATTTTCGAATTTCGCCTTAAAATTTTGCACATTGATAGAAGCGTAATTTTTAGATTGTCCAGGTACACTGGTAGATTCGATGGTCTTATTTCAGAATAGAAGTAAATCAAAAGACCTAACATTTTCACAACAAACTATTTTATGGAAGGTCTAATTCTGTACGGAATTTCAACTTGAAATTCGAAAATTAGTTTTTTTTTATGTTTCTGAGGGAGATCATGACTTTAATTTAAAAGATACGGCCAAAATGATATTATGTCAGCAGGAATGAGCTAATAGCGCGATCTCTTTTCAAAGGATTCATAACTAATGAAGATCTACATGATACACATTGTTGAAACTTAAAAGTAGTTAATGATTTGAGGGACTTCTCTCATCAACTATGTCTGCTACGATGATGTTATAGGAAGCCTATTATTTTTGTGATAGACATTATAGGAAATTTTTATACTTATTTTCTTTAGATCTGTTTTCATTTCTATGAGAATAAATGCGCTTTACTCTCGATTACAGATACATTTGAACTATACGATAATCCGTATGTGTTACGGAGCTATACAAATTTTATGTTGAATTGACTCAATACAATTATACATTAAATTCATTTCGCAGAAAGTATACATAAGATAATGTTTACGATACAAAGTGAATTTTCGTTTATTTTCAGAGGAATTAAGATCACACGACATGGAAATATGAAGAATATTTTAAAAGAGAATTTAAATAAATGTCATAGACGTGAAAAACCATACTTTGTATTTAACGTAATCGTTTCCACAGCTTTTGTAAATTAGGTGAAACAAATATTAGAACCACTGAAATGCTACATAATGAAAACGTTGCTGTAAACCATTGAAATTGAGTTAACCAATATGGAAGATGTTCAAAGAACTGAAAACATAAACCAATAACTAATGTTGGCATATTTGATAAAATATTAACACCAAGAAGTGTAAACATTCGTGTTAAAATAATAAAATCTCGACGATTATTAGCTAATTGATGAATTGGTCTTACTGTTTTACTACATCTTCGAATATACATCATTGTATAAATATAACAAGTTGTTGTCAATAAGACAGGTATCATAGGAACAAATGAGAGAACTAATAATAAACCATGTAAATTATGTATTGCTATTAGACAATGATAAACATCAGGTAGATATTGAAATGTTTTAAGTAAAATAACTGGTATAACTTGTACAAAACTTAAAATCCATTGAATAATTATTCCATAGATATATAATTTAAATGATTGTAATGATGGTGTTGTATAAAATACAATTCGACAAAGTCGATAAATTGCTTGAAGTAAATAAGAATAGAAGAATGCACATCCACTAACATGAAATAAATAAGCTTTGATATAACACCATTCTCCATCAAATGAAATGTTACCATGTAAATGACCATATAAAGTATAACAATAAATATCTAACATAATAGCACAACCAAAAAGAAGACTTACATACATATTAAAACTAAGTAAATCAACTGTTCGATCACGATTAATAGATAATTTATACAATAGCATAATTACAATCATTGATATGGATATTAATATTGATATTGCAGCACTTCCGATCGTAAGTGCATCGAAAATAATATTAACAATATCTGATGACACCATTATGTCGATACTCAGTTTACCAGGATACTATAACATACAAAAAAATGACTAAAAAAAGTTCTTGTTGTTATATGATATCTGAAGCAGTCTTATTCTATAAAAAGTTGATAGTATTATTGAGCTTTTGATTAAAACTGTAGGACTTCTAGAACACTTTACAGTAGGTACTGAAATAAAAACGTCAGTATCTTGGAGTCAATTACTATAAAATAGTTTCTTTTCTGCAAAATTTTATTTCATAGAAAGCTTTTTTAATAATGACATAAGACTACAATATCAATGATCTACGCAAAATGAGAAAAAATAATCTATAAATAAAAAATTCTATTCTTAATACATGTGTTTGATAACTTACATATGCAATCAAACTTCTCTCTTTGTCATGCTGTTTTTGTACTGTTATAGTTTTCTAATGTAAAAAATGAAAACTTTACAGTAAATTTTATTATTAAGAAAAATATTATTCAGGAATAAAAGAAGGAAATATTTTGTTTATAATGTCTTGTCATATAAAACAAGGATATAAAGAAAGATGAATAGCATTGAAAAGACAATCAAATAACAAAAGATTGAACATACTAAATAATATTAAGTAGACTTAGAGTCATAGAAAAGTAAACGAGTTTTATATGAAAAAAAAAACACATTTGAAGTCCTCATCAAAAACCGATCTTGGCCCACGCATATTCGAGTCGCATGGGATTTTCAAGCAAATATCATGATACTATTTGGAGATATTCAACTAACAAGAGTCAAAAGTAGTTCATTGGCCAAACTACAATTCTCCGTAGGTCTTGATTTTATAGACTTATTTCTTTTATTGTTTGGAAGTGCATGTCAACTGGTAGGGCATAACAAAGTCATTTTTTTCAAGAGAAGAGCAGGACGAAATAATTTGATTTCTTGAAAATTTCTCAAAAAAATGGCGCTCTAATGATAAAAAGTATTCTTTTTTATGATAACAACACAGCTTAAGTCGAAAGACAGATTCTTCTACCATTCTCTGCATCTTGGCATAGTCTTTCAAACAATAACAAAAAGAAATAGGTCACTGATTTCAATGGCGCTTCTTCGAGAATTCCCCAATATATGTGGTCAAAAAAAAACATAAACAGAAAACAAGCGAAAGAGATTTTTCATTTTATTTGAGAAACATATATTTGATCAAGGAGAAAATCACAGAATTTTTTGGAAAAAGCGAGACTTTGGCCCATTTTTTGTAAACAACTAGAAGAAACACTTCTTGCTAATTTAAAATACGAAATAGCAATTAATCTGTTCGGATGTAAATCCGTCTAGATCCCAAATGATAATAGAGTATTCATGGAAAGATTCCGTCTTTGATATTATCTTTCTTTTTGAGATTAGTCACAAAAAAAAAACGAATGAAATCATTCCACTAATAGGCATGGACGAAGTCAATACTATTACAGAGACAAATATGATCTGATTAGGATACAATCGAAGTGAAAGATAATGTTACAAAAGATTCTTCTCTTATTTCTACTCTTTTAAATTCTATATATTTCTGTTTTACCTCATAATAACTATATGAATAGCAAGTGTCTTTTATCAAGTATCAAATATCGAACAATATTATATTTGATATCTTTTTAATTAAAAAAGATTGTTCCGTTAGAAAATAGTTCTTATTTTTAAAATTAGTTCCTATAAACTTAATCTAACAAAACAAAGACAACATAATTCTTAATCATATATAATCAAAATTATTTTTAATTGATTTGAATATTTTCTGAAGTCAATAGATCTAGAAACATAATAGACAATTCCTAGTTATGTTCATCTGCTTATCTTTTTTGGTGCATAAACGAAAAATAGAAACATACATGAAAATTGTCGCGAAAAGATTCTACAAATACAACTGAGAAAAGCATAAGAGTGTTAAATATTCATTATGAATCTTTCGATGAAAACTTATTTTTTTTGCTTTGTATGAGGATAAAGAAAAAGGAAGACAATATTATACTAATTAAAAGACATAGCAAAGACAAATACTAGACAATAACGCTTCGAGAGAGCAAAGGCATTTATAAAAGGAAAAAGTTCCATTTCATACTCTATTAACTTAATAAAATTTTTGGCATCATTCTGAACAAACTGTCGTCCTATGTGACTTGACGATCTATATTTATAAAACAGTTTGGAACAACACTTTTTTGTCTCTCATGAAATGACTTCAATGATAATATCAAAAACAAAAATTGTTCATTCTTACTATGAATCTCAAACAGAATGTATCTTATATATGAACATTCATTCGTTATTTATAAATAGAAAAGAATTAAGATTTTCTTTTTAAACCATAATCATCAAAATGCGCATCTATGAAATCTGATTTTACAACAGATTTCTATCTTTTGAAACTATTAAACTAGAGAGAATCTTTTTTCTTCAGAAGTAAACTCATAAATAATAAAAATATTGGTTTTTTTTTTCTTTTTCTATTAACAAATTTCAAATATTTGGATTGCGCACATTGACTTTAATCTGACATACTTGTCAGTCAATTATGATTAAGTTCTGAAAAGATTACAAAGGAAAATAAAGTCACATAGTTCTTTCACGCACTGAGGGACATAATTTGTTTTGAATAATTTGTTATTTTCTTTCATTTTTCAATTGTAATATATGAGTTTATATAGAAAATTGGTTTGAAACGAAGTGTTCTTGAATATTTTTATCATGATACTTAATGTCTTAATTGATTATGCTTTAAATAGAATACTCAAAAACCAAAACGATCGATATGAATAATTTGGTAATTACGTTATGTCAATACGATCGTAGACCTTTGTTAATTATACGCAAAAGGAATATTTTATAGAAAATTTTTGCAAAAAAAATATAAATTTCAGGTTTTTGTAAATTAAATATCTGTCTTATATATTCGACAGATCAGTATGATTAGTATATAGTTCAAGTTAATAACGTCTTGGATCCTGCTGTCTTCAGACTGAAGACAAGCAGGACTGGCGAAATCGACCAAGTTTGACAAATGGAAATGATTGGTTGAAACTTTTACAGAAAATCAAACAGATTTTTCTGCTTCAGAATATGTCAAAACTGCCTGGTGCTCCTCCAGCATCCTCGAGATATTCCTTAATCTGGTTCCAAATTATCGTAAAACTAGCGCCATCTGTGTTACATTTTTGTTAATATCTCCAGGATACTGGAGGAGCACCAGGCAGTTTTGGCATTTTCAGAAGCAGAAAAATTCGTTTGATTTTCAGTAAAAGTTTCAACCAATCATTTCCATTTGTCAAACTTGGTCGATTTCGCCAGTCCTGCTTGCCTTCAGTCTGAAGACAGCAGGATCCAAGAGGTTAATGGTAGAAAGTAGGGGTGAGAATGTTATTGTTATAATAACAAAAAAAAATAACAATAACTTTCTCACCCCTACTAGAAAGTATGTGCTTATTGTAATATTTTCCTTTTCTGTCATTATCNAAGTTAATAACGTCTTGGATCCTGCTGTCTTCAGACTGAAGACAAGCAGGACTGGCGAAATCGACCAAGTTTGACAAATGGAAATGATTGGTTGAAACTTTTACAGAAAATCAAACAGATTTTTCTGCTTCAGAATATGCCAAAACTGCCTGGTGCTCCTCCAGCATCCTCGAGATAGTCCTTAATCTGGTTCCAAATTATTGTAAAACTAGCGCCATCTGCGTTACATTTTTGTTAATATCTCCAGAATGTTGGAAGAGCACCAGACAGTTTTGACATTTTCAGAAGCAGAAAAATTCGTTTGATTTTCAGTAAAAGTTTCAACCAATCATTTCCATTTGTGAAACTTGGTCGATTTCGCCAGTCCTGCTTGTCTTCAGTCTGAAGACAGCAGGATCCAACAGGTTAATTATGGATCTTGATTTACATAAACAGAATAGGATTATATAAAACTTTTTCGCATTTGATAAATCAGCTTATTTCCTAATGAACATGATTTGTTTTTTTAATCAAGCTTACAATACAATAAGCATGTATTACAAAAATCACATATGACCATAATTCATGCTGTGATTTATCATTAGCTAGTTCCTTAGAAACTCTTTCAATTGTATGATCCTTTATTGCTGGATCATGAAAAGCAGTGCTTGTATTTATTATTGCATAGGATATATTCGAAGATGATCCATTATAATTCCGTATGAACACACGTATTACTTAGAACAATAGAATGTATGCAGCACATTTGTCTGAAGAAATTTCCATTTTGATTCCAGAATCTTAAAGCCAGTATATAATATTTAATTAAAGACCATCTTTGTTTTTTATATAAAGTCGCATTTGTAGACATCAATGATTTTCTTGTAAATGTAGCAAATTATGAAATTATACGTGTGTCTTGACGATATTTTTTTTTAAGAGAGTAAAATTTTGTTTTAGATTTCTGGGAGAAAGATTAATGAGAATGACAATCGACACATTACATAACTACTGAAAAAAAAACATACCCAAAACTGACTTTTAACACTTTAGATATCATAAAATACAAGTTGACTGGCATGAAAAAGCATTTTGTCTAGTGGTTGCTTCTAATCCTGTTTATTGCATGCTGAATATCATTTTTTATCGATTGATACATTACTCATTTACTGTTCATATGAGAATGTGAAAAAGAGAATTTTTTCATTCAAATAACCTCAGATAGATCAATAAGATATCAATCGATAGAGAATAAAACTTTGCAAGTGGTACACCTGCTCAAAGCATTCACACATATTCCATTAAATAGGTTAATTTTCTTTTTTTGCTAAACAATAATCTACACTTTAGTTGAGTGTTTGATACATTTTTATTTCGTTGTTGTATAATAAATGAAATGAATAGAGATTTTAATTTAGTAAAATATCGTTGTCTAATTCTATCTTGTTAAGGACAGCCATGTTCGTATTTTTATCCTGAATCATGATGTTGTTTGTTGTTCTTTAAAATTTCCAATTGGTTCATCATGTGACCTATAAGATTTTATTGCTTGT